TCATATGATGGTGCTAATTGCATTCTATACGTACATATTTCCACAATAATAGGAGTTATTCAATTACAATGAAGCCTCGATATAATGAAACCTTATTAAACTGAAAAGCCTCGTTCTTGCGAAAATTGTATACCAAAAGGGCTCCATAGATACAACAAAGAAATTTTGAGCATGAAACCCAATGGTTATACCCCGTTAGCAGAAGTCTCTACTTAAGGAAGTCTGAATTTGTTGACGGTTGGAGTCTCGTTATAAAAAAAACTAAACTTCACTTTTAAGGAATTTTTTCAAAAATTTTAATTTTTCGTTGTATCGAGGTTTTAATACTCCATAAATATAACGAAACTATTAGGGTGTTCGATTATTTACCTTTTTCGTAAATTGGCATTTTGATAAAACCGGTTAACCAGAAAAAACAATTTCAAAAATTTACTTTTACAGCCAACCGGCTGTTTATGGTATTCACCGTTATTAGCAATATTGCATCGCTAAAACAAAAACTCGAGCATGTTGAACTGACTGTCTTGTGAATAAACCAACTACTGACCTAGACCGACAATACAAATTTAGTATATTATATCGAGAATAAATCAACACTGTTGTCCACTCTCACCCCTGGAATTCCATCATCGGAGACCAATGCCACCTATCGTCAACGCAGTGCTCGAGTTGCTTCATGAGACTCGCGCTTCTTTGGCACAGCTCCATTCTGGATATTGTAACAGGTTAAACTGTTCCGCCCTCTACGCTCGCCCTACGATCCAAACTCATCGAATTAAGTGAGCCTGCAGTTAGATAAGAATAAAGACAACTTTTAATCGATTCACTTATATAGATAGAGTTTAGTAAACAGCTAAAACAAATAAAAACAGTGAAAGTATATCGTTCGGTGCTCCTTTTATTTTTTAAGTATATTTTTGCAGTTTAAAATTTTCCAATATACAGATATAAAAATCAAGGCTTCAAAAAAACCATTTAAAAATAATCGAAAAACCGGCTGAAAGCCGTTTGGAAAAGCCAATTAAATCGCCCTCGAAACTATAGATATAAGCATAGAAGCAATAGTCCAACGCCTTCAAATTCGTTATATCGAGGTTTCCCTGTAGTTAGCTCCTGAAGTTTTTAGTCTAGACAACAGTAATAAACTTGCTAATAAACGATTGTTTATTGACAGTAGAACAATTATAGGTAAACAGTTGTATACATATACATAAATACTACATACATACTTATGTATGAATTTGCATGTGAATCTATTTATCTATTGAAACGTTCATTCATGATTTTAAGAACAGACGTTCCGTTTGTTGAGACCCATATAGAATTATCCATATAGAATTCCATATCCATATAGAATTATAACAAAATTGTGTCTGTATTCCATGCGAGACAGTAGTAAAACTTCTTGCTATTACCAGCGTAGCTCACCATCTTAACATTATTCTTAATCTTAATCTCAATCTCAATCTTAATCCAAATCTTAACCTTAACCTTAATTTTAATATCAGTCTTAATCTTAGTCTTAGTCTTAATTTTAACTTTTACCTTAATCCTTATCTTAATCTCAAGCTTAACCTTAATGCTAATTCTGATCTTAAACGCTGCCATCCTATCCCTTCTTCTGCCGCTTTTTCGTGTCATCGGAGTTTGGACTTACAGCCAACCGAGCGCAAAGAAGTTTCACTTAAAAAGTGGTCCTGAGAGATTTACTTCTGCAGCTGGTGTTATCCTTTCCAGCATCATATAATCAAAGAGTCAGACGAAAGAGAGTCGCCCCGTGTGGAATCCCGTTTGGTATCAAATGGCTCATACTCGTTTTGCCCCCGCAATCCAAATTCAAATGTCGCTGCGTTAGCCATTTTCTTTTCGGCTTTAAAATTGATAAAGTCGATACGGTGCGGCGTATGTCGAATTCCTGGTTTAAGATGGAATTGTTAGTTCTAAGGCCGCACTGATAAGGCCTAATCAGTTCGATAATTACCTCTCACACAATGTGTCTCATTCGGGGTGACTTTGTAGTCCTCAGTTGTGTTCGGGTTCATTTTCTTTATTGGTTTCAGTGCCATTTAGCATGGTGGAGGAGTTTTCCTTTCACGTGTCGCCGTGTTTGTTCCTAGATTAATTTGCCTTACCATTGTCGCCAAATTTTCTAATGGGTTTGCGCTATCGCGGGCGCAATAGTGGTAAGTGGAGACCCACCATACCCAATAGCAAACAAACACTTCCTCAAGTTGCGACAAGATTACGAGCACATTTTTTCAATGGGTTTACTCGAGCAACCGCTACCAAGAGAAACATAATCTGTATGCTGGAAATGCTTAAACTAATCAAACTATCTCGAGAATGTGCTAGTGGTATGAAAAACACTAAAAAAAGGAAGCTCTAATTTTCGCATATATGTATTCGTTGGTAACTAATAGGACAAAAATAATATGAATGCTTTCTTTTCTCAGATGCAACATCACCGAATGTGACGGACCGCAAAGCGCTTACGAAGAGCCATGGACTAAATATGCCATTCCCGCGAAGACTAAGGAGTTAGATCAATGTCGACGTTATGCGCCCAAAGCAATCACGAATTGGACAAGGTCACCCGGGGATGTACAATATTGCACGGCGGATAGCTTTGATTCCAAAGTGATGCAGAATTGCCCTGGCAATAATTTTATATTTCGAGGCGAGGAAGTAACGATATCAAATGATGTAAGTCTACGGCAAAACACANTTTCGAGGCGAGGAAGTAACGATATCAAATGATGTAAGTCTACGGCAAAATACAATACATACATACATACATACATATGCGCCTAATTAATTATTCAAATTGACACAGTTCGGCATTTATTGCGATGAGGAATGGAAGTTAACCCTGACAGGCACAATTAATAATGTGGGACAATTTTTTGGCATACCGCTCGGTGGATTAATTTCCGATAAGTGAGTATTGTTTGCTCAACATACTCCCATTAATTTTGTAGTCGCATAAGACTTACCACGTTTTACTTAAACACTCCGCAGGTATGGTCGTCGCAATGCGCTCGCACTTGGCGGCGTACTCAGCGCCATATTTGGCATTATGCGCTCTTTTACCACATCCTACGTGCCGTTTCTTGTTTATGAGTTCCTCGACAATGTCGCAAATAGTTCACTCTATTCGATTTGCTTCATCATTGGCATCGAATTGGTGGGTCCTAGCAAGCGTGTATTCGCTTGTAGCGTCATTACAATTTTCTACGCCATCGGTGAAATGCTTCTAGCCATCGTTTCTATGTATTTTCCAAATTGGCGCATTATGCTCCGGATTTTCTACATACCATCGCTAGCCATTGTATCCTACTACTGGATATTGCCAGAGAGCGTACGTTGGCTACTGAGTCAGCAACGTGAAACGGAAGCTTTGGACATATTGAAGCGTGCAGCGCAAACGAATAAGCGTCGACTATCGGATACAACGCTGGATAAGTTGATATTAGCGAATCGTGAGAAGCTAAGTAGTCAAGGTGGCGCACGCTTTCCCATACGCGAGGCGTGCGGAAAACTCTTTTTCCGCATTGCAAATTGTTCGCTATGCTGGGTGGTCACTGTGCTGGTATACTATGGACTGAGCTTGAACTCGGTGCTGTTGGGTGGCAATAAATATTACAATTTCATACTGATTGCGCTAGTGGAAATTCCTGGTTTCTTCATACCTTGCCTCACTATGGATAGATATGGTAGAAGGTATTCGCTTTGCGGTTATATGCTGCTCAGTGGCATTTGCTGTCTGTGTACAGTCTTTGTGAACTCAGGTAGGAGGATCTGTTAAAAATTTGTATTTATTTTGTTCTTTATGTTACTTGTACATTGTTTGTCCTTTAGAACGCTATTATCTTCAGCTAAGCTTATTTTTGGTGGGTAAGCTGGCAATTACTGCTGCCTTCCAAGTTCTTTACTTTTTCACTTCGGAGATATTTCCAACAAATCTGCGCAATAGTTTGATGTCTTTCTGCTCGATGATTGGCCGTTTTGGTTCAATGGTGGCGCCACAGACACCTCTCTTGGTAAGTTTTATATATAACCTCGGCCTAAGTAGAGTGAAAAATATCGCACGAGGGACTTTCAAATTACAAAGCGAAAGATAGTACATAACCTTCTTCAGTTCCTCAATATGCATATCCGCAGCAGGAGGCATTAAGCTTTAAAATAGTATTTCATCCACTACAGACCCTCTGGCATCGACGAGAGATGAGGGGCCTATTGGCATAAACTCTTACTTATCTGACAATCCTTCCCTTTTGAACTCTGGCAGTCTGGCATCGTTGATCCGCTTAACGGATGAGTTCTATTGAGGAAGTCCTAAGCGGTCTATTCACGAAATAGATTGACTTTATCGCATTTAAACCGTTTTGGGCAGCGAGATTACATTCATAAGCTCCAGAGATTGTCCTCTATCTCGATAGGATTTTTAAGCGATAGGGATCTGCGGATTGAAAATGTCTTCAGATGGTGACCTCAAAAGAGAGAAGCGACGTAACTGATCACTGCGTATTTTCGCCTCTGTTTTGGCTTAGTATTATTAAGAAATCTTCCCAAATTCAATAAGGGTGAAGTTAAAGTGGTGGCCGATTGGTAGTGATTTGCCATTTGTCAGCGATAGATTTTTTATGAGAGAAACCGCCTTACGCCTTCCTTGTGGGTCTAACAGTACTGAGATATATGAACTAACTGGATTTACTTGGATTTCTTATCTCCACTGGATGGATCCGACGAAATTAGAGGCTCCCTCATTCCTTTCCATTTCGGTTTCTGATAACTTAAATTCCTGCGGTTTAAAATGGCACGTATTTGATGCTAATTGGTGTGATTTCAAAACCACTTTCCAAGTGCAAATCCATACGATTCTTGACCATTCTGCAGGCTAATTAAAAATAAAGAATTTCCCATCTAAAACTTCCGCTTCATCAGTGAAGATCTAAACAATTCTTCTAGTTACAAATATGTACGCTTAGAATCATTTAGGGCACCGCATAACAAACCCGGGAATTTGAGAAGATCGCAGTCTAAGCCGTTCAAGTATTTTCTCGAACATGGCTAAATTGGACTAATTGTATCTTGAGAAGAGACTTTACTACTCATTTACATCTCCGTTTAATGAGCGAATTATTTTTTAAGTCTTGAAACTTTTGTCCTTCTTTAAACTGTGATCTGTAAGTGGTAATCATAATTTATAACTTATTTTGCTTCTCTTCTCATTTCAGGTTAAATATTATGAAAATGCTCCAGCGATATTGTTTGCGGCCTGTGCTCTAGTCAGTGGTTGCTTATCGCTACTTTTTCCAGAAACTTCAAATACGATTTTGCCAACGACAGTGCATGAAGCAAATAAAATTGGTAGCAAGAAATCGTCCAAGGATCCAAATAGTAGTACATTTAATTTAGAGAATGAGAGTACTTATATGTAAGAAATACCTGTATGAATAACAGAACGAAAACGATACATGTACTTATGTACATATTATTATGTATGCATATTAATATTAAGCCTTGCCATCTTACAAGCAACCAAAAAAAGTTTGCCGTTCACCCCTGAGTGTAAAGTATTTTTCGCTTTTTAACATTTTTCTGTGACAACTAAATACGGCAATAAATTTTTTTTTAAATAGTTCTACTGAAATTATCGAAATAATTCTTTACTTTATTTACGGACATTAGAGTGGTACATTAGGGTGATAAGAACTGAGATTGGGTGGGTAATTAATTACGAGGTACTTGAGGACAATGAACTTTATAACACAAAAAATTTCTTCCTCGGGACCGGAACATAGATATATCATACTTTAGGGTCCGATTGTATATGCCGAAGATATGACCAAAAATGCAAAAAGGCGTAAAAAAATCCGAAACTACCTTGCGAAAATACTTTACATTCGAATATGTACGGCGAACTTTTTTTCTGGAATGGTCTAATATATGTACATATATTTATTAGGATGCATCACCAAAAAAAATTGCGGTTTTTCACCGGAATTATAAAATGTATTATATTTTAAGACTACCAACCTTTTCCGTTTCGGAAAAATATTAAGATTCACGTGAGCTAAACCGATTTGAAAATATCTCTAAAAATCTCGTTATTTTGATAAACAATTTTAAGNTTAAAAACTTCTTGCTAAAAATATAAGCACATAACTTGATAACTAGGCAGGTGTGACTACCCCAAAATAAATTTTATAGTTCCAGTGGGAAACTGTACCCTTTTTTGTGTGTACATAAACATATGTAAGTACATCTGTATGTACATTAGCGTGGCCCGAAAATCCGCTTTTTTAGAATTTTGATCAGTAATAGCAAAAATATGGTTCATTATGCTCTAAAATAAATCTGTATGAAATGTGAAAATTTTTAGTCAATATCCTAGGCTCGCCCATGTCCACCAAAGTTCAAGTACTAAACAAATTTTTTTTCTCTACAAAAAAGGTCCAAATACCAAAGGACTAATACTTTCGAAAATTATTGCAATTTTAGTAAAAAAATTTATTAATTAATTTATTTATTAATTTTTATTTTTTGAGCATATTGAACTTTGATGGACGAGCCTAGAATATTAACCAAAAAATTCCAAAGATTTTTTTTAAAGCATAATGAATCATATTTTTGCTATTACAAATCAAAATTCTAAAAAAGCGGATTTTCGGCCCACGCTAATTTACATACAGATGTACTTACATATGTTTATGTACACACAAAAAAGGGTACAGTTTCCCACTGGAACTATAAAATTTATTTTGGGGTAGTCACACCTGCCTAGTTATCAAGTTATGTGCTTATATTTTTAGCAAGAAGTTTTTAAGTTGAGTAATATTACTGCTGAAATGCTTTAAAGTATAGACCCGTTCAATCCGATCCCAAATAAGATATTGCTATATGAAATTTCTCTAAATTTTCGAATTAGTACACTTTTAAAAATCGTGCGCATTAGATCGCTTTGTATAGTTAAATTTGGCCTTACAAAACCAGTAGGTTGCTCACACTGGACCTAGTTGGAGAAGAGATAAGTAAATAAGGATTAAATAAAGGCTGTGCCATAGGAACGGAACTATTTTTCGGGAAGTTTAGTATGTATTTCCTCTGTCGGTTAGTAAGAGCCTTTGTTATTAGAAGTAGTATTCGTAGTAATCAGAAGTAAATTTTTGGCTTTAAGCCACTATAAATTACAGTCCAGTTAAAACTAAGACTAAGACAAATATTTTCCTCAGTTCTTGATAGAACGTAAAAATAAGTATTTATTACTTAAAATTAAGAGTCAAATAATTTACATACATTGAGGCGTATTCTTGTTTTCGTACGAATCGAAAATCACGAAATTTTTCTATCGTTTCCGATCAAAAAATTTTAAAAATTCGATTCGTACAAAAACAAGAATACGCATTATCATAAAATTTTATTTATCGTAAATTTTAAATATTGTCTTAGATATATTTAAAATTTATATATTTTTGATTTACTTAGAACCTAAGTACTTCCAAAAATTTATGTATTAAAAATTCAACCGCACATTTAAATAAAATAAAGTATCATATTTAAAACACAGCCATGTTTCCTTCTGACAATCTTTTTCCAATAACTGATCAGTGCAAATTGGCTGAGTTCCATAGTAACTTACTTCGGCAGCATTAGATTGACATATGTATGTAGGTATATTGAGTAGAATAATGAAACTAAAAGGCTAAGAATAAATCGAATGTATATATATGTATTAGGATAAGTCAAGTTCCCCTTATCTGAGCTTTCCTCCGCAGCTCTTTGATTTCGTAGAAAAGAACTGATTACACACCTGAAGAAGCTCTGGCGAGTACAAGTTTTTGGCAAACGGAAACATCAGACCCGGAAAAGCATCATGATGATTATGGTTTCCCAAAAACAGAAGGTGAAGAAGTCGTAAGTTGAGCCAAACTAAGATTTCCTAGAGCAAGAATCCTGGGTGTATAGGAATCCACTAGATAGGCGAAGAGCTAAAATGTTGGTAGATATTTTCTATGATTAGTAATAAGTTCAGCATATAGAAGATTAAGGTACGAGCATGGATGAAACTGCATTGAAAGGACAATAAGTCCCAAAGTAGTTAAAATAATGTAAATCCTCTATCGATGTATGCAGATGTATTCAAAAGCAGTAATCTGTCAAAGTAAAATTTGCAGATGTTCATGAAAGGTATGAAGCCTTCGGCATAGCCGAAGACAGCTCTGCTCTTACTTGTTTTCATTTATTCTAAAGACTCTTGGCAAAATATTGAAAATTTAAAATGGCCATAGCAAAGAAATTTTACTAAAGAAAGCAAAACGATTTTCTAGGTTTTGCTATACGGGTCTAGGCCTTTTATGCTGCGTTGGAATTATTGCGCTCCTAAAAATGCTGTTGCGCAGTGTTACAGAGTTTTTAGAAACTTTCAAATTCCACCTTGTACTCAAAAAAATTAGGAGTTTAAGTTTTTCACACCAAAAATCTGTCACAAATGTTTACCACAAGCCGCGGAATTGATTCCAATCGAATAAATTATAAAACGACAATGTATTGGTTAACCAAATTTGCATGAATTTGGACAGTATTTAAGCGAAAAAACCATTCATACTAAGTATTAGTCACTAACAATAATTTTTTTCAAGTCCAGTTTACTTTGAAACGCATGGTACTTGAACGTTTCTTTTCTTTACTACTGTTTAAAGGATGCTTTGTTATTACCAAAGTATCAAATTTATTATCAACTTACAGTCTATTGAAATTTTTACATGAAAATCATTTTCAATCACCAACTCTCTTCCATCTCGTGCGACAGCCAATAGGCCATCTGTGGCC